CATTTTCCAAGCTGAGTAGTTGTGGTTTTGTGACAATTTTCATCAGTGTGCATTGTAATGTCAGTCGCCAGCAGAGTGAAACCCAAGGAGCAGAGCACAAAGAAAATGTGTCCTTTATTAATCAAGGCCTCCTGTGGTGGCAGAGACTCATTTTCCTCATTCTGATAGAGTTTGTAATGGGAACAAAAACTGAGCAGCCACTGAGCTTCCAGTGGGCCCCCAGAGAGGTTTATTGCTGCTTTCCAGCATTAAAAGTCCCTCCCAAACCTGAGGCTGGCTGTGTGTTCCAGACTCGGAAGACAGCAGGGTGGCTGGCGGCGGAGCTGTCCCGGGAAGGCCATCAGGTGGCTCTGCTCAGCGGGGAGATGATGGTGGAGCAGAGAGCTGCTGTGATTGAGCGCTTCCGAGAGGGCAAGGAGAAGGTGCTGGTGACCACAAACGTCTGTGCCAGAGGTAGGACATGGCAGAACGGGGCCAGGGAGGGCTGGAAGTGACAATTCCTAAGATAACACGTATCCCTGACCAGCTTCCTAAGATCACACATATTAGATAGATACGAGAAATATAAATAACACTTAGATATATAGGATAACCCCTGGCCAGGYTGCAGGAAGAATTTGCATCCTCAGSTGTTCCAGTCGGGAGAAATTGGTGTCTTTGCAGTCAGGATGCCTGTGGGCACAGGATTCCTCATATGAAAGCCCATCCTGTGTGAGAATCTGACGCCAAGCCTGGTTTGTGCTGCTGACCTTCAGGGTTTGCAGTAAACATGTGCCCAAGTACAGAAAACTTAAGAATAGCGAAATCCAGTTCACTGTCCGGGTAGGAATTTGTGGTGTAATTCAGTATCCTAGAACAGTTAAGGCAGGATTGTACTTTGACAAAAACAAGCAGTCTTTAGAGCTTTGCAGAGGAGGAGAGACTTTACAAAGTATTGGTAGAATTTCCAAAATATTTAAGTGTCTTTGGCTGCTTTAGTAGGATTCTCTGCTCTAACAGCTCGATAGTTTTTACTTGCAAGTGCCCTACTGGATATTGTGGAAAAGCTCCATTTCAGAGTCTGAGGAAGCTGTTCCTGCCCTACAAGAATTTAAGTGAAGCTGTGTAACCCAATGCTTTCCTTTTGTCAGGGATTGATGTAGAGCAGGTCTCTGTTGTTATCAATTTTGATCTTCCYGTGGATAAGGATGGAAATCCAGATAACGAGACCTACCTGCACCGCATCGGCCGCACTGGCCGCTTYGGCAAGCGAGGGCTGGCCATTAACATGGTGGACAGCAAGCACAGCATGAACATTCTCAACAGAATCCAGGAACATTTCAGTAAGTACCCTCAGGCTTTCTCCTTTCTCTAAACTTGAATTGCTGCAGTGTTTGATTTGTTGGATGCTGAGCAGGGCTGACGGGTGTTTGTTGAGCCTGAAACTGGTGACAGAGCAGCACAGAGGTGTGGTTGGTAGGGTGTCACTTGGGGCTGTGACCTGCTGCCTGTGACAGGAGCACAATAAGTCAAGAGTGTGTTTGCTGGCTGCCTGGATGCTCCTTTAAGTGGTTGTTCCAGGGCTGGGTAACACTGGAGTATCCAGACAGGCCTTTGATAAAAGGAAACGGTTTTAATCTGTATTTTTAAAACCTGACTAAACATTCCCTGATGAACCAGAACTCAAATCCACCTAAGGAGAGCAGCATTCTCTGCTTCTCTCCCTTATCTGCTCAGTGTTACAAAATCTGACTTACTTCTCTTCTTTCCCAGACAAAAAGATAAACAAATTGGATACTGACGACTTGGATGAAATTGAGAAGATAAATAACTRAAATAGCTGCTGGACCTGGTGTGTGCCCTACTGTGGAAGCTCTCCCACTACAATTGGATCAGCGTTTGGATTGGCACAGCCTCTCAGCTCGTCCCGAAAAGGACTCTTTTAAGATATGAGTACACAAAAATTACCTCATTCTCAAAATTGCAGTTGGACTTCAAATTGTGCAACTATGGGGAGGAAGAGGAAATGTTTACAGAAGCTTTTAACATTTCTTAGTTTAGCCTTAAAATGGGATGATCTTTGGAATTCTGAGAAGTACACTTGCCAAAAGAGAGGCAATATGGAATTACCTAAATTTTAAAASAAAAAAAAATTATTGCCTTTAATTGGAATATTGTGCAGCATTAACCTGATCAGTTTAAATTGAACAGCTGAATATATAAYGGACATAAGGAAAGGAAAGAAAAACAAAAAACCCAAACAAGGCAGCTGGTTTTTGGCTAAATATTCAACTTGTACAAACTAGGATGTCATTCTCTTTGGCGCTCCCCTGAGCTCTTTAAGACTCATTTCTGGCTTCCTGATGGATTTGCCCTGCTTTTCCTTACATAAATTGTCCTGAGGATGTCTCCAGTAGCTCCTACTCGCAAACACAGGTGCCGTGTCGCTTTTGCTGGGCAGTATTTTCGTTTCCTTTGTCCTGGATTTGTTGGGATGGCTGCACTCCGTGATGTGGGTGGTGGTGACACTACAGAGTTCATCCCGAGTATTTTAACCTGGCTACGGTGTGGGTGGGTGGGGTGGGAGGGGCAGTATGAAGGGAACTGTACTAATGAATTGTCTGATGAATTTCACCTCTTGTGAATTCAATTCACCGTGTGATGAAATGCACCGTGCTGTGAGCATGGAAAATATACAAAGCTGTTGGGCTTCACCCATCAAATACAGGAATAAAATAACAAAAAAATCATGATAGCCTGGACCGACCAAAAAAATTTACCCTTGCAACTCCAAATTTACCTGTTACAGTATGTTCCAGTACCAGAGTTTTTAAGTTAAATTGCTCAGCCGAATTGCAGGTGGGAAGTGCTCCATAGTGCAAAATAGGTCATTGGTCCCTGCCCTGGGGTGTTGCATGGAGAAGGAAGGATTGACCCCTCCTGTGTGTTGGGACCATTCTGGTGCCCACAGCTGGATGCCTGTGGGCTATTCCCCCAGCCCAGTCTCCAGGAGGAGGAGGAGGCTCCTGAAGCAGAATTTAGGGTGCACAGCTCTTTGTCAGGGGTAAATGGGGCCTGCGTGAGCAGCCATGGGCCTGCTACTCAGTGTGGGAATCACATCAAAACAAATGTATAAATTGTAAATTTAAACGGAATTGTTTCCTTTGCAATTTTGGCCATCATATTCTGTTCAAAGACAGGAACATGGATCCTTTTACCAAGTAAAAAAAGGCTCATTTAAAATGTACCTAAAATTTTAGGAAATTGTGCACCCTTTTATCAATTTGTATAAAGGCTTTAGTGAAGAAAAAAAAAACAGCTTAAAATTAAACTTTTTGTATTCTGGGGTGTATCTATTTTTATTCTGTTGGAATCCTATTTAAAGTGGCAGGTGAGTGAATGCTTGCGTGTGGAGTGGAAGACTTGATTTAATCACAACTTTCCTAGTACAGCTGAATGACCTGGTGACAGCAGAGATTGGGTTGAATTGTTATGGAAGCTGCTGCTGGTCCTGTGTGCTGTTTCTAATGTACTTTTAATTGGAATTAAAGAACACATACTGAACGATCTCTTTGCTGACTTCTTGCTTGAATACTTTGGTGTTAAAAGTCTTGCCAAGTTTTCTATTTTTGGCCTTCTCATCCTRTGACAGACTGAACTTTATTGCTGAAATTCATACAAGATTTCCCCAAAGAAGTTTGTTAAATGATGCCACACAATAAATGAGGTCAGATAAATACTGTTCTTCCCCCCTGTGCTTCTTGTGCTGGACTTGGCAGAGTTTCTACTAAAACCTCCCCAGAACAGTTTCAAAGGTAAGAGAAGGAGAACTGAGGGAGAAATAAAGGGTTTTCTCTGTGCTGTGTTAGCCTAGATCAAGACTTGATGGTTTTTGCCCATCTTTGGAGTTGCTGTAGCCTGGGTGAGGTGATTAGAACCAAATTCATCTGGCTTTATCTCAGATATCCAGGACAAATGTCCGCCAGCATGAAAAGTCCACTGTGAGACAAGTTATTGTCTGATTGTTCTGTTCTTGTTCAAAGCTCTCACACCTGCCTGGTGGTCTYCAGGCCTGGTAACAGCCTGTCACTGTTCCAAAGTGCTTCCTCCTTGGCTGCAATCTTGTATCCAGCACAGGATGCAGATGCAAACTCCAGGAGGGTGGTGTGGAGGGCAGCTGACCATCCAAAGGCTGATCTGGGCAGCCCYCGAGGTATTTGCCATCAAATTAAAGGCATTTCTTAAGAGCAGCTGTGATGGATAAACCTCTCCTCACGTAAATCATTTGAAGTTAGAATTTCAGCCTAAACAGTATGGAACACTCTTGAAATGTAGGAGTAACACAGTACACAGAACAGTCAGAAAAAAAAGGATTTGATTACCTAACCTGAAGAAAATGGTCCCTTTTCCTGAAACSAGGTGAAATACTTTGTGGTTCTGTTGAAAGCATCCATATGTTCTGATATCTGGGACTGCTGCTGAGTGAATCCCATCACTAATAGAAGCAGGTACTGCTATTCCATCAGGCACTGGTTTTACAAAGCTGCTGGACCCTGAACACTTCATTTAGTGTCAGGTACTGCACTCAGAATCAGCGCCAGCATCAGCTTTCTGCTCCTGTTACTTTTTGTGCTCCTGTGCTGAGTTGGTTTGCAGTTACACTGAGCTTCAAAATAAACTAGGTTTGCCTCAAAACATTTAAACTCACTCATCTGTGCAGCAAGTGCTTCACTTTTAAGGAGATTAAAAATTATTGCCTTTGAAATTCCATTAGAAACTAGGAGATACTTCTCTTTTTTTAGCACAAGCGCATTGTATTTACCTAAACCTGCCAAGTCACCCAATCAGCCTTTTAATGATGGTTTAGTAAAGGATGGTTTACTTCATGAGCCCATTTCCAGTCAAATCCCATTTGGTATTAACCTTCTTAYTTGAAAATTCCCAAAGCAGCACTTGTTTCTTGGACGAACTCACTTCAGTGTAGAGGTGTTAAATGGAATTATCTGTACTATCCCTTCTTAACTCTCCTYACCTATGGACCACATGAGCTGAATGAGAGAAGGAAAACTAAAGAGAAAATCCTGCTGCTCAGTCAAAATAATCATCATTTATTCTTAAAAAGATGAGTTAGTCACACTTAAGAGCTGGAGTGAGGTTACCCAGAAATACCTGAGCTCTCATAAAAATAGCGTTTTATGATCAGTTTTGTAATTCAATACTTCACAATAAGCCATTTGTGTGTTGTTACTGTCATTTCCAGTGGTTTTGGGGTTTGATCTCCTTTTTAGTCTCTTGAGAAGGTGTTTAGGATAATGATAAACTACTGAAGGTGGTCCTGTGGCTAAACCAGTTCTGGTTTTACCTTCCCAAATGGTGCCTCWGCATTCAGAGATGTGGTACCTTCCCAAAATAGAGAAAAGGACAAGGGGAGAGGTCYTGGAAACTTCAGTTTTCAAAGAACATCAGCAACTTCAACAAACCAAAAAGGCTGAAGGTTGGTGGCACTCAAGCAGAAATTTGTGATGGCACAGGTGACACAAGCTGCTCCGTATGAATCAGGTTTACACATCTAAAATACTATTTCGAGACAGATCCATAACTCTGCTTCACGGGGAACTTGTGGGAGAYAGAAGATAAAGAAGAAGGCACAGGAAGCATCAGATTCTCAGTTTTTTGGAAGAAGCAATGCATCCCACTGAGCAGAAGGACCCACGCTATCTCTGTATGCCTAAAGATCTGCTGCATCRCGCTTCTTGTCCTGTCGGATGCACAGCACCGACTTGGGGAGGATCCCACATTCCTGAAGGGATTTTGTAAGGTCACAGAAGCTCCTCCGGGGCACCTCCATKGTTTCAACACTGCAGTGTTGGTAGTTGGCCAACAATTTCTGTCCTGCCACGGCAAGGACCATCTGGAGACTGTCAGAGGGCTTGAAGTGGTGYTCAAACCTCTGCCCAGAGGGTGATCGGACCGCGAGCAGCATGTGCGGCTCTTCCCGGCTTACAGGGCACATCCGAGGGCTCTGCTGCCTTGCTTGCCTTCCCTGCTGCTCAGGGGCACGGTGCACGTGTGAGCTCTCTTCAGTGGGAATGTCACTTCCTGACAATGTGCTGGCAGATCCTTGTTCTCCAGAAAGAGTCTTGATGGCTTTTGGAGCTTCCTCCTGCCCCTCACTCACTTCCAGCCGGTTGGTCTGTTCAGCCAACGCTTCCACAGCATCRCTCCTTGTGCTCTTCCTGACGATGGAGGGGAGCACACGGTACTTGTTCAGGGAACAGGACCTCTTCAGAGGCACTTGCTGCAGGAGCTTTGGGATTTTCTCAGCTGACACCTGGGCAGGTAGGAATGCTGGTTTGCTGAGCGGTGTTCTCCGGCTGCTCACTAATTGCCGAGGAGAGGCTGCCAGTGGGGAAGATGGCACATGGCAYGGACAGGCTCCCATGCCCTGAGGGTGGCTCAAGCTTGGTCTCCGTCCCTTGGCAGATTTGGGCCTGGTGACATGCATGGTGACGGCGCTGACCCGYGGCAGAGCAGCTGAGCCTGGAGGGAAACGGAGTTGAGCTGGTGCTGAGTCCAGGAAAGCTGCTGTGGCCATCGCACCTGCGGGTCATGAGCAGAGGGAAAAGTTACAGGAACTGGGCAGGAAATCTCCAAAGAGTTCCATCTCCCTGCAGCTCCCAGGTTGTGCTACRTGTCAGCCAATAACGGGATAAATCTGGGGTGTCCCTGTGTGGGCAGGCAGCAGCCCTGCRGTGCAGTAAGGGCTGAGTCACAGARTGGGGCAGATGTTTTATTTGTAGGGACTGGCTTGGGCAGGAATCGGTTAAAGTTGACCCAGAGCTTTGGGAAGTTGTGCCCTTTGCAACTGAATGTAAGTTTTTGGTGGAAAGCACATTTTTATACTTCTGAAGCTGGAAACTCAGTGAAAGGGAGATGAGTGAAGCTCAGAGCACAGCTCTAGCCTTTTCACTGTTCCTGCACTGGCAGATTGTGGATTTTGGGATAAGACTGACTACACTTCATATTTTAAAGATATCTCAAAACCGAGTTAGAAAAACCCTGATTCAATACACAGAAAACTGTTGTGACTCTCCTGTGACCAAAAGCTGCTTAACAGAGAATGATTTACCTGAAGGAATGGCTGGAGCTGCGCCARGGCAGGTTTAGGATGGATTTCAGGGAAAGGTTCTTCCCCCAGAGGGTGCTGGCACTGCCCAGGCTCCCCAGGGAATGGGCACAGCCCTGAGGCTGCCAGAGCTGCAGGAGCGTTTGGACAGCACTGCCAGGGATGCACAGGGTGGGATTGTTGGGGGTCTGTGCAGGGTCAGGAGTTGGACTCCACGATCCYTGTGGGCTCCTCCCTACCCAGGATATTCCATGCTTCTGTGATATAACCTCCACTAAGGAGGAAGCCAAGTTCTGCTGCGTGTTCCCCAAATGAGGCTGCACTCAGAGCACTCAGCTGTGCCAGGACAGGCCATCGGGTCACAACCTCCAGCAATGCTTTGGAGAAGTGCCACAGGGAACCTGCTCTTCCCTGCCTCTGGGTTTTGTGGCAGCATTTACTAAGGGGGAAGAAAAAGACACCATGGATTGCTTGGCATTCTTCCAGGAGTGACACAATCACACTCAGCTGCTGTTTGTCACCTCAGCAGTGTATGGGCCAATGCAAACCTCATGGAGTTCAGCAAAGCCAAGGGCAAAACCTTACACCAGGGTCAGGACAATGCCAGGCACCCCTGGGTGAAACAGGGATGAAGAGCAACCCTGGGAGAAGAATGAGCTGCAGAGCTGCCTCCAGCTCTGGGATCCTCAGCAAAGGAAGGACGTGGAGCTGCTGGGGTGAGTCCAGAGCAGCCGCCAGGATGATGGGAGGGATGGAGCAGCTCTGCTGAGAGGAAAGGCTGAGGGAATTGGGATTGTTCAGCCTGGAGAGAGAAGGCTCCAGAGTGAACTAATTGTGGCCTTTCAGAATCTGAAGGACCCAAAAGGAAAGATGGAGAGAGACTATTTACAAGGGCCTGGAGTGCCAGGACAAGTGGGAATGGCTTCCCACTGCCAGAGGGCAGGSTTAAATGGGATAWTGGGAAGAAATCCTTCCCTGTCAGTGTGGTAAAGCCCTAGCACAGGTTTCTCAGAGAAGCTGTGGCTGCCCCTRGATCCCTGGCAGTGTCCAAGGCCTGGTTGGARRGGGCTTGGAGCACCCTGGGATAGTGAAAGGTGTCCCTGCCCATGGCTGGGGTGGAATRAGATGAGCCTGYCCCTTKCCAAYCCAAACCCTTCTGTGATTCTGTTCTTAACCAAACAAACAGAGGGAACAGCCCCTGTGGCACTTTGCCAGCCATGTTTGTTATTTAAYACTTGATTTCTCCTCCAGCGAGCAGGGCCAAGGCAGAAGCCCAGCACACCCTGCCCAGCCCCAGCTGACAGAGCTGTCCCTCCCAAGCCTTCAGCAGAGCTGGACAGGGACACGTGCCCGGGTGACTGACCTCAGTGTCCCCAGAGCCTGTGGGAGGGACAGGGGCTGTGCCTTCCCCTTAGTGCTCTAACAAATAAACTCCAAGGCAACAAYGCACAGAGGGAGAACTCCCAAGCACACGGGAGCACTTAAAAATATCCAGTGAATAAATAAATAAATAAACCCAAGAATAAACCCCCAACCAACCAAGTTGGCAGAAGCCCCGGTGGGACCCTCCCGCGGGTGTCTGTACCATCCCATCCCAGGTTAGAGGGGAGAGGCTGACAACACGGGGTGTGGTGAGGGATCAGGACAGGGAACTGCAGCCAGGGAGGGCTGTGCCCACAGGTGACCCCAAAACGGTGACCCCAGGGCCTGCAAATGTGAGCACTTCACACCCCTGACCTACACCACGGGGTCACAGAATGGGTCAGGCTGAAAGGGACARTGGCAGCTCCTCTGGTGCCACCTTCCTGCTCCAGCAGGGTCAGCCCAGAGCACAGGATCGAGTGCGGATGGGTCTGGAACATCTCCAGCGAGGGAGACTCCACACCCTCTCTGGGCAATGYATTCCAGGGTGTTCAAAGCTTTTCCTTAAGTTCAGGTGGAACTTCCTGGGCATCAATCCCTGCCCGCTGCCCCTTGTCCTGGTGAGGGCTGGCACAGCCCCAAGCAGAGCCCTCAGTGCCACAGCCTGGCCGGGCCCACAGCCGCGCCTGGGTCGGAGCCCACGGCAGGAGCGCGGCAGAGTCCGACCCCCAGCGCGGCTCCACAGCCCCGCCGTCCAGGCTCCGGACGAGCCCGGGCTGTTCCCGGCCGGTCCCTCACCCGGTCCCGCACCCGCACCCTCTCCCGGCCCCGCCGCCCCTCACCTGCCC